CGGCGCCTGGCACGGCCCGCGCGGGGCATCGCGGAGGAGACGCTCTCGACGCCCTCGACGCCCTCCCAAGCGCAGCACCTCGAGCTTCGAGTGGTGACAGAAAACACCCCTGGCTGCTCCGCTCAGCTGCAGCTTGCTCACCAGGATGTTTTTCAAGGAGGGTCTGCGCAGTGTTGGCAAAGGAAAGTCTCCTATTTCCCAAGCATGCTTATCACTCCGTCCTTGACAACGCTGGGAACTCGCAGCACTTCTTTTTTCTTTCGTTTAGAGGCAAGCATGAGAAAGGCGGCGTTTGCGGGCCGCATTGTGCTGGTTTTCCTGTGTGCTGAGTCACAGGAGACAGATAAAGTTTCTCCAAAATGCTGGTACCTCTGCAGATGTTGGATTTGGGAAGGAGAATTGGGTGGGAAGGGAAGGAGAATTAATAGGTGACCTACCCACAGAGCAAACCGTGCAGTTCCCATTTGGGACCTGCCACCGCTTGGGAAAATGTCTTTTTTTTTTTTTTTTTTCCATAAGGTATGGGTTTTAGCTGGAAAAGAGTCCCATTGGCTTGGTGCTTTCCTTAGTCACAGGAGCTGGTCTGCATTTATAGAATAATACTGCCCGAGAAGCCCTTGGTGGCTTCCTTGAGACCTGCCTTGAGGTGAACACCGGGTGGCTGGGGCGGTTGGGACAGGGATCAGGAGCTGAAGTGCCTGTATTTTTTCAAAGTACAAATGTGCACTGGCAGGACGCTTAGGTCTCTTAATTCTTCACAGGGAGAAAACCTCCTTGGTCCTATGAAGGCCTTAGAAAATGTCCTCTGTGTCTCCAGAACATCCAGGTTTCGTGATGTGCGTGTAGGATCAGGTAGTTTTGATCTCCCCATCTAGAGCATCTTCTCTACTCCTTGGGAAGTTTTGGAGGGCAGACACTGCTCTCTCCAGTGTCAGCACCTTGCTTCTAACACAGGGATTTGGGCAATGGCTGCTGTGAAGGAACACAGTCAAAACAGAAGCTGATCTGTAAATGTCCTGTACCACTGTTGGGGCTTCAGTATGGGTCAGCAGTTGCAGTGCATCCAAATAAACAAAATGTTTGTGCCAATTCTTGTTGACTTCATGGACTTCACATAGAAGTCTGCAACAGGTTGACATTTCAGCAGTGCTGGAGCTGAGCAGTGCAGGGCTGGGACCTGCTCGTGCACGAATGACCTCAGCCACCACCAGCTGGCACGGTGGCGGCGCTGGGCCTGCTCCAAAAAGGCAGAGCAGATTTCCCAGGACAGCGATGGATCGTGGAGAAAGTGCAAGGACTGTGACCGGAGGAGGACGTGTTGCAGCAGCACTGGGGTTATGGCTGCCGTCCCAATTCCCGATGGATCCCCTGGCACACACACGGACACAGACACACAGACACAGACACACACACAGATACAGACACACACACAGATACAGACACACACACAGACAAATACACACACACAGACACACACACACACACACAGACACACAGACACACTCCTGCCTGCAGGAAGGAGCAGCGCCAACCCACCATGCGCCCTCGCTTTAAGCCTTTTACCTGCTGTGATTTCCAAAGATAAATTCACCAGGTGTGCAAGCTTGAGGGTGGCTTGACTTGAAATTTCCCTTTGCCTCCTATTAAGAATAGATGCAGGGAAGTTTTGTGCGTTCCCTTTTCCCTGCGGGTGAGCCGGGCTGCAGCGGAGACATCCGCGGCTGCTTCCAAAGCGTTTGCTAAGAGAGTGGGTTTGCATTTGTTTCGGTGACTATATAACAGCCCGTAACTGTATGTAAATGTCTACGTAAACGGCATATAAATGACTATATAACAACTCCACACATGGAGATGCTGTGTTCCAGGGAGTGAAATTTGAGATTTTTCTGTAGCATACCCATTAGTTCTTTCACTAATGCTTTGTGGCTTCCATTCCCCTGTACTTCAGTTCTGTGGTTACTGAGGCTGATGCTGCTGTTTCAGACTCCATATGTATAAATATGTAAATATATAATAAGTATATATGAGTATAATAAATATATATATGTATAATAAATATATATAAGTATATATATATATATATGAGTATATATAATATATACATAAATTATATATATGAAAATAAATATACACATATATGTTTCCCCTGAAGCCAGAGCCCAAAGCTGGGAGGTTAACGCAGCGTTCCTGTCTCTCCGCAGAGATCATCGATGACCTCACCAGCCTGGTGGAGAACACGGACGACAAGCTCCGCAATCAGACGCGGCACGTGAAGGTGGTGGACAAGAAGTCGACTTCCTGCGGTAGGAAATGGCTCAAGTGCCAACCCTGTGCTGTTGTTGGATGCCCGCGAGCTCGGGGGCTGTGTGTGCTGGGCTTCTCCCTGAAGGCAATCTTCTGTAAAGAAGGTTGCAAACTCGATGGTGGTTTTAGCTGATGTTGCAGCTCTGATTTACCACACTTGCTTTGTGTCACTGTAGTCAGCTTCCTGAAGCGTCTGACTGCAGGATTACACAATATTTTGATTGGAAATTATAGATCTGCATGAAATGAGTGCAGTCCCTGTTAATTAGGTTTAAGAAACCTCATTAGATACCAGCTCTCGGAAAATGCTGGCGATGGGCAGCAATCCCATGGGCGTGTTTGTGGTGGTGTCCGGAAGCAACATGTTCTCAGCCAAACAGTATTTGGAGCCTATAAGACATGAAATCCTTGCTGGTTCAACACTTCAAGTTACATGCAGACTAGTGAAATTAAGCTAGACTCCTTTTTTGTATAGTGAAAAACAAGGTCATGCATCTTGAGACAGTCAGGGCGTCATGTATAGGGTGAAGAGCTGGGGATTTGGGGAGGATATTGGATATTGTGGCTTTACCTTGGAGGAGGTGAGTGTTGTCCACCTGCAAGTCTCCCCCCTTAGTATTAATTTGGAGATTGTCTTCGTGAGACTGTCTAGGAAATAGCACGGCCAATTTTAATGTCCATGGTTCATTTCAAATCAGAGGCCTTAAAATGTTACAAGAGGGATTTCTGCTCTTTTAAAAATGGTCTCACAGGGAGAAGCTAAAGGAGTTCCGTTTCTGCAGCTTAGCTAAGAGAAGATTGAGGCTTGACTCGGTCCTGTTTCTGGGTAAAGAAAAGGGCCGTGGGTTTGTGGGGGCTTTTATTCCATTGGGTGAAGCCCTGATGGCTGGTAGCTAAAGCTACCAAACTTGGACTAGCAGGGAGACTTTTGTTTTCTTGAGCAGCGAGGATATATTTGAGGAATATAATGGATTCTCCATCCGTGATACCTTTTTGAAAGCTAAGCCCTTGATTGATATAAGTTGATGAAAATCTGTGGCCTCTCCTGGAGGTTAAAGTTGACTTGTCAGAGCCATTTGTCTCTGATTTTGCACGTTCCTGCGACGGAGGTAATTAAAGACGTGCCTGCAGAGCCCGTGACTGATTTCTGCGTTGGCTCTTTAATGCTGACGCAAGATTTATATAATTGAAAAATGATTGCACTCGAATGGTGCTGGGTCTTTGGAGCCTTCCCTCAATTTCCGTGTTTTTTTCCACCCACGTGCGGGGCGGCGCGAAGCGAAACCCTTTGCAGGGCGGGCGGCAGCGCCGATCCCGCTGCCCCTCCTTCCCTGTCCTCCCTGTCCTTCTCCGGGCTCCTAGTGCGAACACAGAAGCCAAACGGCGCTGCCGGATGGGGAACCTCTCCCTGTAACGCGGGAGGCGCTGGGAGAGGAGGAGGAGGAGGATGTGGGAGGCGAAGGCCGGGGGGATGCGGCCCGGCTGGATTCCTTGGGGGTGACCTCAGTCACCCTTTCCACACTCCAAAACGTTTTTCCTTGGGGGCCGGGGGGAAGCGCTGCTGCCTGTTGCCGTGGTCCGTCTGCTCCGATGGCTCTTCCCGTGTTTGCACAACGATTTGGGCACATGTAAACACAATATTGCCTCGGATGGCTCTTTGGATCTGCCTCCTCGTGAGGTTTTTGAACAATAATGCTGCAAAATGTAGGCTTTTATGGCATTCTTCCCATTCCTCTCCCCTCTTCGGCCTGACACTGAAAATCCCTGCTATGTCAAGATCAAAAAAAAACCCTCTGCACTTGTAGAATTGTCCTTGATCTAATCCAAACCCCAGGAGAACTGGCACTTGTTCAGTAACCTTCCGAAAGTTTTCTCTAATATTTCATGTAAACTGGTGAAATCCTGAGCAGCAATTTGGTTTCAGCAGCGTTATTTGGGATCAAAATGGGACAGACAAGTCCCATCTCTGCCTCTCTCCCTCCCCACCCCTTCCTCCTTAGTCACCAAGATGTTTGTTTGGAAGCAGTTTCTGCACTCTTGCAGCTTGTGGCTGGTTTGGTGTTTGAAGTCAGAATGGCTTTTTTTCTTCTTTTTTCCTCTTTTCCTTTTTTTTTTGTTGTTGTTTTTTTCCCGATGAGTGCATGTATTGGAGCAACTGGATGGGGCTACAAGCAGAGCAGTCTGGCAGGAGCGGTGGAATAATCACCCTTTTATGAGCAAGAATGCAGCACATTAATGGGTGTGACTTTGTTAGCAGCCAGGACAATAATAAAATCAAAGTGTTGCTGCTGAAACGCAGCTTTAATCCCTGTTTCAGCGTCTTGCTCTCATGCGAACGTAGCTCCAAGTGTTCCTTCCCGTGAGGAGCAGCTTGGACAGAGGCATCGCTTGGTCCGAGGTGTTGCAGGTGGCATCTTCTAAGCTTCAACGTTCCTTCAGCTGTGCACAGGTAGGACAGGGACACGCAGGTGTCCCCTCGCGCCCAGTTCACACACCTGCAGATTTTTGTTTTGTTTTGTGCAGGATAGCACTCACGAGCAATTTATCGCTAATATTTTCATTAGAAACGTAACCCCTCAGATTGTCCTTTTAGGAACTGCATTTGGATTTTAAAAAAAAAGTAACTGAAGGTATAGATAGAGCTGAGGCACAAGGGAACATAAACAACCTTCCTTTCCCCAAACAAGCCCTCGGGCTGTACCGAGCTGGGTGTGCATGGCAAACTGTCTCACACCTTGCTGCTGCTCCTGATTTCTCCAGTATATCCACTTTTCCCAGGTACAGGTAGCCTAATTTTGATCTCATCCCTGCTGGGGATTACGGTTCCTCCCTTTGGGATTCGTGATGCTCCAAGAAGATGCTGTGCAGGTTTCTTAAGAGCTCCAAAGCATGACCTCTCCTAACACCCTGTACAACTGGGCAGCATCAGGTTCAAGCACGTACTGTTTGCCTGCAGGGAGGCCCTGACCCGTCCCTCCAGCCCGGGGCTGTCGTTGACCTAGTCCTGCAGGGCAGACAGACCTTCCTCTTCCTCAACTGCATCCCTGGGTGCTGTTTTCTCAGATACCTTTTCCACCCCTTCCTTGAGTTTCGTCATTTTATGGAGGCAGCCCCCTGAGAGGTTGACCGAATCGAGTTTGCTCGGTGACCAGAACATCCTGTTGCCTGAGGCTTTCATGTCCAAGCGAGCTGTGGGGATTTTAGCAATGCCTGACACAGCAGAGTGCTAGATGCCACATGCGGAGATGCCATCACAGCCAAATTCTGTTGAGGTTCTGTATAGAGAGAGCCCCTCGGTCACAGCACAAGTACTCAAGTGGCCTCGGGATCGAGTGGACGGAGCGCAGGGGTGGGTCGAGCACGGTCACACTGAAGTATTCTCCAGGTCCTGCTCAACACACCTT